GGGTAGTATTATGAAATGGATTATTATCCCTCTACCATAATAGATAAGTATCCACATATAATAGTAATTACTTCACTTACAAATAAAGCTTTACCCTCCTAGTAAAAAATGTTTACCGACTTACTTTAATTGAACTATTACTTTTGCACTACTATATATAGGAGCACTTCACTTTGTAAAGATGATACGTAGTAATAAGAAAACACAAAAGCTTTTGAGATCACTTCCCATACTCTCTTCTTTCTTACTTGCTTTACTTATTTCATTAAGCATACATATACATATAAACTATATATTATCTTAATTGTTCATAATAGACATATTATTATCCAAATTACATTGGAAATTTATGTACTAATCAGATTTAAAAAAAATTGGAGTCATTGGTTACTCAATTTGATTGAACCAATTTGGACTGGTGTGATTTTGAGCAGCTCCTCATCATATTGCAAAACTCTTGATAATTGATACTCCCATCCTTTTCAAAACAAATAAAAAAAAGAATTAGAAATTTTAAAATATTATTAAATTAAAACTAATTTGGTATTTACTATTTTGATTACAATAAACCACTTACATTATCAGCATCAACTTCTGCGATAATCTCCTTAATCATAGCATCATCTCCCATATTATACTCTTTCATGGCCGTTTCTAATTCTTGTCTCGTTATAGACCTACAAACACATATGGCATTTGGTTTATTGATCCGGTATAACTCTGGTTTATCAAGTCGGTTTTCGAATATACCCGCTATTATCTCTATCGAAATGTTGAAAAGCTTTGAACAAATTCTCTTCTCTTTCCACTCTATACCGGTTCATCGTAGCCGAGATAAACTCAATGTAATCGATCGTACCGTTCCCATCTACATCAGCCTAAACCGAAAACATTAACCAAAGTAATCAAAACCGGTTTAATTCAATTAATGGAGAAAAAGAGGGAATTCCGAAAAAGAGAGTATATACAGTACTTACATCTTCTAAGAGCTGTTTAACTTCGGTTTCGGTTAACCTCGAACCGAGTTTTTCCAATCCGGTTTTCAATTCATCATAGGTGATTGTACCGCTTTTATCGGTATCCATGTTCGCAAACATCGTCTTGAGACCTTTTAGCTCCTCTTCTTTGAGATTTTGCGCGAT